AAGCAATATAGCAGAAACCTGAATAAAAATATAAGAAATAGCAATGCAAGTAAAACATTCTGCTTTTTCTCCCTCATCTTTGTTGCTGTTCTGTAACTTAAATTAACAGACCCATGTATTTGAATTCACTGTTGAGTTACTTTCTACTGCTTAAAGTAATTCTGAAAAGTTTGCGCTGCGGTGGAACAGATAAGAGCACGAGCTTCTCCTACCTGCCTGCTGCATGCACATTCACAGCTGTCAGAGGTGCACAAGCAAGGGTTTAAGAGGTTCTGTTGCCTCTTGTCTAGGGGATAAAAAATTCAGTGTTCAGTGTAGCAGGAATGGTGGAAATCAGAGTGTGCTGACTTGCCTGCTGGTGCAGTAACTTAAAAGTAAATTGGTGGTGGTGTAAGTCGCAGGGCCAGCCTACAAACAGTGCTGTTTGAGGAAATGGACTTGGTATCTGGGGTGCTGTGCCAGCTGTGGGTGTAGCAGTTTCCTGCAGAGGGGTGGAGGAACTTCTGAATGTGGCAGCGTGCTAGACTGGTGCATCTGCATCTCCCATGAATCAGAGCGCAACCATGCAAATCTCAACCTGGCCAAACAAGATGCTCCTGGCTGGTACATGAAATCATGGTGCCAGCTTCCCCTTTCCTCCCTGCTCCAATCTCCATTTTCAGCAGGCTTTTTGGTACAAAAGAAACTTGACTGTGCCCACCAGCCAGCTAACTTGATTTCTTTTGATTGTGGTATAAAAAGAAGAGTTCACTTTCCTTATCACATTTGTACTTTGGTTATAGTGTCAGGCTTGAGCAGATTAATTAGTTGAAGCTTTAGCCAAGCTGTCGGGGGTATTTAACCCACTGGAGAAAAATGACCCAAGCTGATGATAAACAGGCTTTAAATGCAGAGCAATTACTTAGTGCTAACAAAGCACCATGACTACACACTTTGTCCAAATGCAAAAAGCAAAGCCTTATCGGTGATTCTGTTTGCAGGAGGACACTAAAAGATAACCTTTGTTTGTGCAAATACTTACATGATAAGATCCTCTGAAAGGAAACAGTTGAAATTTCAAGTTCTGTCTTGCCTGAAGGCTGATATATATCAAACAAGAAATAATAATAATTGCAATCTGAGAATGCTTAATTCTCTGTGTTAGTTGGACCCGAAGTCTCAGAATGGTAAGTTTCTTTCCTGCTCACATTGATTGCTCTCTTTGCTAGCACGTTACAATAAAGCAATTAAAAGACCTTTAACCAACAGGACTTTGGATTTCATTGTTCGTGGGGATTGGCAAAGCTAAAGGGCTGGTTGGCATTGAACTTAGTTTGTTCACTGCAGACTTAATTCTGACTGGTAGCCAGGGTTTACAGCACTGCAATCCTGTGACTCATAACTGTTCTGTTTTGCATCAGTGATGAAACTGGGCTGGCAGTTTCCAAACCTCGTGAAAGCTTAGGAGGTGCTTTTAGTGGGACGTGCACTCAATACCATTTGCTTCTCAGGGGTCACAGGTCACATTCTGAAGCAGCAAAAGTTTGGGTTTTTATTGTGATGAGTCCTAACATCTTGCATTTGACCTCTGCCTAGCTCACTCTGAGTTTTTTCTCTGCCTTAAGATTTGACTGAAAGGACACTGTTTATTGAATGCTTTTAATTGACTTTAGGAAAAAAAAAAAAAATCAATGTCTCATGGAGCATCAATCAAAAGATTTACAGAGTGGACGTATTTTCTTTTGCTTTCAAATGACTTGCAAGAGATTTCCCATTTGGTGTTTGTAAAGGACCTTTATGTCAAAAGAAAAACTTAAAATACCAAATGCAAACACATGTTTTGGTCTTTTCAGTCAGAGGACTTAAATTAACCCAAGCGTGTTCAAAGCACCTTCTCCTGTGAAAAGTAGAGATGTATTTTCTAGTGAATTATTTCTGAGTGTAGTTACCCCATTCTGCTCTGCAGTCCATGTCACAATTTTAACCACAGATGTGATTCTAGGCTGATTTGGATGCTATGTAATACTTTGTCCAGATGCTAATGCAGTGGCACACTGATTGTGTGAGTCCCATCTCACCTGCAGTACTCTGATGTCTGGTTTCCTGTGTTCAATTTCAATTACTGTTGGCAGAAGGATGAAGATGAAAGACTTGAAGTCTGCATGAGAAGAAGTATCTTGAGACAAGAAGGGAGAGACACTGAATTATTAAATTATTCCTATGTGCCCTTACTGCAAAATATGTTACAGTCATGTCCCTAGATTTAGAGAACTTTCATGGAAGACCTCTGGAAATGCTGGATGTTATTCATTTTCTTGTTCACTGGACTGTTTAGTGTGGATTTCCTGCCGCAACTGATTTACCTGCATTTTATAGGTTGTTTTCTTTTAAATATGCATTTGTGTCTGGTATTCTAGTGCCTTTTGCGCTTCTCCACCTACTAGAGGTGTAGGTGTTCTCCACCTACTAGAGGCTGACAACGCTGGTGATAAACATGTATTTTGGAGCAATGCCTTCCCAAGTTGCAACAATTGCTCTGAAAGTAATAATGTCTTCCACTTTATTATTTTGGCCTACAATGTCAGAGGCAGATGCTGGTGGTATGACAGCAGAAGTTGAACCTTCTCATCAATATTCCGTAACATTTTGTTGCTCAACTCACAACAGGTGAGGTGAAGGCACGTAATTTATATTTTAAGAGATCAGGGACTGAGCTTTTAGACTATTGAAGTGTTTTCATGTTTGTTTTCAACTTTGGCGGACCACAGGAAGATTGCAAATCTGAAACCATATCAGCCCTACTTACTGAGGGTTTTTTAATGCCTCAGTTTCCATATCACAGGAAAGCATTCCTTTAGTGTCATTTCTTTAGTGTCATTCATTGTGTGTTTCTGTGCCTTACATTAGGCTGAGAGAGTAGTGCCAACTTCTGTTCCTGGAAGTAGGTTTGGAAGGAATGACGAGTGCTGGATGCTGGATCTGCAGAGTTATTGCTGCACACATGTTTCAGGAGGGGAGGTGGATGTGAGGAGAGGTGTCACCAGGGCCTGTGCTGGCTGAGACCTTTGGCAACGGCCATCACTTGATCCTTAGTTTGCTTTTTAGAAGTTACAATTTGCAGGAAATAAAATGCAGTCCTTGAAGGCAGGGGAACGTGATGTTAGTCACTGATATTAGTCATTGACAGTTTCTGCCTTGTGGGCTGTTCAGGTTACAGACTTTCTGTAGCCTAGAAAAGGAAATCTTTCATTAGCTAATTATTTTCCTTAGCAGTACTGTAAGGGCGTCAGCAAATAATACACTTCCTGGCAAAGCTATCATGCTGTTTAGTGCCTGTGTGTGATCAGGAGAGAATAAAGGGGAAATTTTAATGAGATAAATTGTATGAGAGCTGAAGAATACTAAAGGCTTTGAAATGCTGCTCAGAGTTAAGTCTTAGCAATCAATTTTAATAATCTTCCACATGTAAATGAGGAATCCAAGTGTCACATGTTGTCTGATACCTGGATTTTTGACTGGTTTCTAGCTATCTTTGACACTGTGCCAAATGTTTAATGAAGGCATGATGCAACAGAGCCACTGAAACACATTCACTTCTGATTAAAGCAACGGCATAGTATACAGAACTGAAAGGGGAAAATGCACTGGGCTAGTGAAACAGCAGCTGAGAAACATCTGGATAGGGGAGATGTGCTTGGTGAGTTAAGAAAGAGCAGGGCATAATCTTGCTCCAGAAGAGTGCCATGAAATAGGCAGCGCCCAGTTGTCAGTGCCTTGCTTGCAGAACTCTTTCCTTCCCACTCCAACAAAGATTAGTTTTTTTTCCAAAAACACAAAAAGGGTGGCAGGATTTCTTACTGCTCACTTTAACAGCAGTGAAAAGTCCTAATCCTTCTAAGACAGCTTTGAAAGCATCACCTTAAAATAGTTGTTTAAGGCACCTGATAAGCAGGATGAAACAGGGTGCTTCCATTATTTGTGAGATTCAGTGTTTTGTCAAAGATTGCTGTTGATGCTATTAGGCCTGCTGAATTGTGGTTGAGCTAATTATGTTGTTCCAGTTTCTAAAATCTCTTGAGTTCCTGTGTACTTTGTCATTAGTTTCATATTATCATCAAATTCGTATCGATCTTTCAGTATCTTGACAGTTTCTTTTTGTTCATGTCCGGTGGACTTTCTGTTCATTCAGTTCTACCACTGCAAACTGATCTTCATCAGAGTTTTGTTCATGTGTTAAATAAGGTCAGTAATTCGGTTTCTGCGTTACCTGAAAACTATGTGATTGTCATGATTGTAGCGTAGGAAATTCTTCTCTAAACAATATATATTGTAAAGTAGTTGCTATTCTACATATGTTTGGTTTCTTTTTTCCGGAAGAGTGATGTGATTATCTTCTCAATGGAATGCCTAAGCATGGGGGAAATAAAGCTGGTTAGCTGCTTGTGCCTCTGTTCGCACAAAGGTAGACATTTTAATTAGATGCTTTTCCCAACAGATGCATGGGTTTTCGTAAACTTTTCTTGCTAATATCCACTTGACTTCACAAAGTTGATTTTCTCTGTACTCTTACTTGAACTCCGTTGTTCATTTTATTAGAAGTCATTCTAAGGACATCTGTTTCAGTTTCTGTAATTTAGCTTTATTGCACATGTTTGTCAGACGATAGTCAATGGTCCTGCTTGAACCTATGTTTTATGTAAGAAAAATACAACTTTCTCAAATAAGTCTTTGTAAAGTTTATTCCAATACATATTTTCTGTGTACAAAAGGGAATCTATATCAGTCAGTTTTATGGTGGAAAACATGTAGGCAAATGACACTGGTGTGGTATTCATTCTCATTGTGGAAATTGTGGAGTAGTTGTGTCCTTGAGGAATGTTGAAAAGTAGTTAATGACAAATTCTCTTGCTAATGCCTTTGTTCTGCAGTCTCTTGGGGAAGGGAAGAAATCTTTGAGTTTCCCAGTCAAAAAACCCTATCTTTTAGAAGCATTTCAGTGCATCAGTTCTTCTCTTTTTCAGGATCTTTCCAAGAGAGTATCTTCTTCAGCAAATCCATCTTTATTCTCTGGCGGACCTCCAGCAGGTAAGTTCATTCATTAATTCTACTTTTCTCTTACCACCTTCTTCAATGCTAATTGTGTATTCCCACTTCAAGTTAACCAAAATGTAAGTTGCTTTACTTTAAAGCGATCTCTGTGGTATATAGTTTGATATAAAAGTGGGCTAACAGGGCATTGGTTAGTATTGAGAGAGAAAATGTAGGGCTGCAGTGTTGAAATAGAACTGGAAATAGGCCACAAGAGAAAACTTTGCTGGGAGAAATTTTCATCTGAAGCTCAACTGGAGACGAGTAGTGACAAGTAGTATTTACTTTTTTGCTTGAAAGAGTAGTTCTTTAGGAATTTGAGTTTGTACAGTCCCTAGTGCAACCTGCCTATTAAGTAAGTCTGCTAGGTATTACAACAATACTAAAAAGGGGAAAAAAAAGTTCATCAAGCACACTACAAAGTCAGGCAGTGTTACTATGACCATGGAAGAGATAATGCACCAACAAAACGTGTCTTTGTGTTGGTGTTGATTGAGCTAAGTGAACAGCTTGCAATGCATCTGCCTGAACAGCAGAATTCTGTCACATACAAGATTAAACAAGAAGAAAGAACTGAAAAGGACAGGGAGTCCAAGGTGAATGTGCTGCCATGTTTAGATACACAGTGAAGGAAGCAATGAGGTAAGATTTGCTAGCTGACCAAGGCACCATCTGCTTCTATGCTGTTATCAGTGACATGTAAAACATGTTATTTTAAGCTTCTTCCACTGATAATTCACTTGTCCAATCTTACCGTTTCTTCAGGGTAACAGGCAGTATAGTCAGTTTGAGGTGTTTGGTTGATTTCTTTAATTGATGTAGTTCAAATTGCCCTCAGAGCTGGAAACTACAGAGCCACAGATTCTGCAGGTTTTTTGTTGGCTGGTGAAGTCGTGGAATTGAAATGATTCCATATATAAAATAAAAAGGCCAGTCATCCAAAGCAAATTTCTACATCCTTTCAGCATGTTCTGCTATCATCTCTAATAATCAAGGCATGAAATAGCAAGCTACTTAACTCCAGAGCTGCAGTCTCCCTGGTGGGCCTGTCTATTAGCCCCCAGCGCTTTGTAAGCTGCTTAATCAGTTTCCAACACTGGTAGTAGATGTTTTAGAAGCAATCAGCAGCTTATCGAGCACCCTGTGGGAGGGATGGAGGGTAGAAGTCACGATTCATTCATTGATTTAGCAGTTCCCTTTAGTATGTTTCTTTGTGTTTATTTGTGTTTGCAAAACGCCTTCTCTTCCCCTGAGGGCCCAAGCCCCAGATTTATCATGTTTAGAGGCAGTATAATTTGATTACCATTTCTACTGGGGTTGGTTAAATTGGATTTACCTTTTAATCTAGCCATATCCTTGATGTCAGCCTAGAAAGGGTTTTTCACATTTCAGCATCTACAGGTTTGAATTCCCATTATCTGTTTTTGTCAAAATGTAACCAAGTTGGAAAGGGGCTGGAAGGCCCTGGTGAGAGAAATACAAGACCCTGCTGTGTCCCCCACTTTGCCCCTTCCTGCTGCTTTCTCCATATGGCTCATAATTTTCCATTCAGCTGCAGTTGAGTTGGGGTGTTTTTTAATCCTAAAAGTTTTCTCTCCTTTTGATTCCTCTACTGCCTATTTCTTCATATCCATGAGCTGCTTTTACGCTGTGTCCTGCTGTCATGTATATTGTGTGTGTTTGGAGAATTAACTAAAAGTTTTATTAAAGATTAATGGAAAGATAAAGCATGGTGAGTGAATTAGAAAAGCAGAGAGGGGTAATCTGCAGATATAAGCAACCTTTACCTTGGTTAGTCACAGCTCAATTCTTATTTGTTTCCTAGCCAGATTCTCTTTACAGATCCTGGAAAACAAGCAGTCATTTTCAACCAAGCAGCTGTATTTTAGAAATGTGCTAAGGATCTGTTCTCAGGTACTAAAAAAAAGTTGGAGGTGTCAGATGATCAAGCATCATACAATGTTACTTTAAAAGGAAACAATTTAAATCTCCATGCCTTGATGTTATAGGTGTGGCAAAGTACTTACTGGTGAGAATGGTTGTAATTTGGATCCAGTTGGCCAGGGCTCTACTAGGGAAGACCTTAACTGAGATGCAAAACTGAGGGAGAAAAAAAATAGACAAGATGCCATCAGTTTTGGAAACTTGCCTAACTCTCAAGTGAGGAGGTGCTTTTTGTAATGGCAGGTCTGAGTAGGACCCTACCAGAGGCAGTAGGTGATATTCTTTATTTGTGTATGTGTGTTTATTGAAAATAGAGAAAAACACACGTGCACCCCAGCAATGTTGCATTGCAAACCAGCATCCTAGTGACTACAGCAAAGTTTATAGCAAGTCCATTCATGGACACTCTCATGGGGAATTTATTCTTAGCTTCTTCTTGTTCTTGTTGTCATTTTAGGCATTAGCAGCTGAGATAACTAAGTAGATGTGTACAGATTTAATGAGCAGAAACTGAGTGTGACAGCTTTCCTATTCTATCCCATTGGTACACTTTTATTTTTCTTTACTTACTTACTTAGCCCTCCCTATGATTACCTCTCCAAAGAATCATTTGTTCTGTGTCACTGCTTAGCCTGCTGGTAAAACATCACTGCTTCCCTGTTAGCCAGTTTATTTCAGAGCTATTCCAATCAACTAATACTTTAAAGAAGACAACCTCCAGTTGATAGGAAGCAAGACTTCACTCCTGCTGTCTTTACTGTCTTTAGCAGACGATAATAGACTAAGAAAAACAATTCTTCTTGCTTACGTGCAGTATAGTCCCTTCACCACAAACCTACTGGATGTTGGGAACTTATTCTCTGCTGCTGTTGCTAATGTCCACTGGGTTTCTGGACGTGTGAAGGCGATGCGTGCAAATTGGAATTCAAAAGTATCTGTTCATTTTCTGTGGGTTGGAACTATTTTTGGTGACGCTGACAGATTTTACACTGCTAAACACTGAATTGTACAGGAACTGACTCAGGCAAGAATATTGCATTTCTTAGGAAAACTATTTAAACTGGATTCCAGATTAGTGGAGCTTTACAAGTAGAAGACTTGAAGTGCTAATTGTGACGAGCTTGAAGTTCAGGTGCTTAATCCACACAGAACAACTAATATGTCATGCCTGTTCTTTATGTTAAATAGTAAAATGTGCATGTTTACAGTGTTTAATGCCACATTCTTCTTCACACTAGAAAATCTTTTCTTTGTGGAAATGATTTCATCCCAGTTAAACTACCATGAAAAGGTATGGTAAAATAAGGGTCACTGTAACAACAAAAATGACTGGATGTCAGGGATGGCAATGTTGAGTGAGATCTGAGATTTGAAAAGATAAAGATACATTTACGCAAAAATAATTAGGAAAATATATTTGAAGTTACAGAGCATGGGAATTTAAAATGATGAGTTGAATTGAACTGTATTGAACCACTGTAAATATATTTATTAAAAATATCAGCAGTTTTCATTTTGAAGTGAATTGAGCTAAATGATATTAAAGTCATTTTCATTCTGAATTTTTTTTTTATCCATAAAAGGACTTAGTGTAGTAATGATTTATCCATTTTTATATCATGGATTAATTAATCCATTAGCATTTAATTAAAGTATCAATTTAATTCACATCAACTTTCCTGGCTGTCTTGCTTTGGATGAACACACAGATATTGTGAAGAACTACGGGGAGGAAGAGTGGACAGTAGTTGCATTGTAATGCAGCACAGGTTGTGAAGTGAATATGAGATGGGTGTTAAAATCTTTAATGGAAATGCTTCTTTGCAGCATACACAATGAGAATGAGGAACTTTTTGCCACAGTAATATTATCAAGGCCAGAAGTTTATAATCTTTGAGAGGATTAAGTATCCATAATGAGAATGTCCACTGTTGCACTACTTAAGGTAAAAAGATTATAAGGTTTCAGAATAGACACTTTACTTGTTGAGAGGATTAGGGAGATGTCTGTCAATAGGGAAGACATACCAGTGATTTCATCTTTCTTTGACATACTAGTAGAGACTACAGCATCTGATAGGGCTTTGAACAAAGTGAAAAATTGGTCTACAGAAGCATTTCCAATATAAAAATCTTAATGTTTCTGTTCAAGAATTTCAATCACTTAAGTGAAGCTTACATTGCACCTAATTTGAGTTTAGCATATTGTTAGAAAAGGATTAAAGAGTCTTAGAAGAACCAAGAAGTGGTTAGGACTGGTGTACTTTTTCAAGCTTTTAACCTGTCCTGTACTTATTTCATACATCCTTTACGGGTGGGAAATTTGTATGCTTTCTGTTTTCCTAGACTGAGATGGAGGAAGTTGGTGATGCTTTTTGTAGCATTTTGGAAAAAAACTGCTTGATAGCTTGTAATGAACCAGGTCTGTGCTACAGAGTTTTGATAACACAGCAGTTTCTTCCGTGGAAGTGATAGGAAGTGGTACCTAACAGGCCTGTGCTAGTGAAAGCCAGTAGTGTGCATGTGGCTGCACTGATTGGCAAAACTGGGTTTTGGGCAAAATACTTTGGGGTTGGTTAGAATTGTTCCTGGAATAGGTGCATGGCAAAAACAAACACGCACACTTAATGGATATAGCTGTACTTACAAAGTACTAGTGCAAACTCAGTTACCTGTATGAGAAAGTGTCTTGCTGGCATCATTTGTTTCATTCAGTGAATCAATATAAGATGTATCAGCTTAAACATGTATTTACCAAAAAGACTTACCCATGTAGCTGTACCAGCAGATCCTTCTAAGTTTAGACAAGCCCTTACTTTGCTTGAGGGGCAGGAGGTGGCAAATGAGAAGGGGAATTAAGGTTTTGTCAGACTTGGCTATGCAATCCTGCTGAGACGGCTGAAAATTTGGCTTTCACAGTTTTCTGTGGGAGTTCACTGAGCTCAGCAAGGGCAGCAAAATGCAAGACACCTCTCTGTCATAACTTCTGTAGTTCACTATCCAGCATGGTAGTGAAAATGTTAGCTTTATGTCTCCAACCTCCTGAACAAAATG